CTACACAGTATTGAATGGCAGATGAACTGTGGCTAGAAAGTCTACTTTTAAGATGGCTCACTCACATGGTTGGCATGTTGGTTCTGTCTGTTGGCTAAGAGCTTAGCCAGGGATGAGGGCCCAGGGCTTTGGCACCTCTCCATGTGGGCCTTCGCAGGCTGATTGGGCTTCCTCAGAACATGGTGACTGGGTTTCAAGAGTGACCATTCCAAGAGAATGAGGTGGTATTTTTACGACAGCCTCAGACGCCACATATTATCACTCTTTTATACTAGACTAGTCAAGGAAAGAACAAATTTCTGCCTAGGTTCAAGTAGAGGTGATAAAAACGCCATCTCTTGATAGGGAAGTGCAAAGTTCTAAAAGAACATGTGTTACAGATATACTGTTGCATACACATTTGGAAAATGTAATCTGCCACTGGTAGGGATGACATGATTTAGCAAATTGGCTAGCGGCAGTGAGGGAGAATGAGACCCTGAGGTTTCTGGATTGTGTGACCAGTGGGGCCATTAATAAAACTAATGGAAAAGAGAAGGAAGGATATGTTAGGGGAGATTATTGACCCTGAGAAGCCCATAGTATTCAGAAGACTGGAGTCTGGAAGAGGCATAAGGGAGTCTTGCACAATAAAGTCAAGCTGAAACTGAGACTAGAAGAAATGGCCAAGGATGAGAAAGAGAATCGTCACAGATTCTTAGAAAACAAAAATTTTTTTTTGAGAGGGAGTCTCACTCTGTTGCCCAAGCTGGAGTGCAGTGGCATGATCTCAGCTCACTGCAACCTCCGCCTCTTGGATTCAAACCAATTCTTGTGCCTCAGCCTCCCAAGTAGCTAGGATTACAGGCACCCGCCGATATGCCTGACTAATTTTTGTATTTTTAGTAGAGATGGGGTTTTGCCATTTTGGCCAGGTTGGTCTCGAACTCCTGACCTCAGGTGATCCACCCACCTTAGCCTCCTAAAGTGCTGGGATATTAGGCATGAGCCACCACACTCAGACTATTTACTACCTTTTTTTTTTTTTTTGAGATGGAGTCTTGCTCTCTGTTGCCAGGCTGGAGTGGAGTGGTGTGATCTTGGTTCACTGAAACCTTGTGGCTCACTGCAACCTCCACCTTTTGGGTTCAAGCAATTCCCCTGTCTCAGCCTCCCGAGTAGCTGGAACTACAGGTGCACGCCACCATACCTGGCTAATTTTTTGTATTTTAGTAGAGACAGGGTTTCACCATGTTGGCCAGGATGGTCTTGATCTCCTGACCTTGTGATCTGCCCGCCTCGGCCTCCCAAAGTGTTGGGATTACAGGCGTGAGCCACCCCTCCTGGGCCTATTTTCCTTTTAAATGGCATTATTGCCGGGCGCGGTGGCTCAAGCCTGTAATCCCAGCACTTTGGGAGGCCGAGGCGGGTGGATCACGAGGTCAAGAGATCGAGACCATCCTGGTCAACATGGTGAAACCCCATCTCTACTAAAACTACAAAAAATACCTGGGCATGGTGGCGCGTGCCTGTAATCCCAGCTACTCAGGAGGCTGAGGCAGGAGAATTGCCTGAACCCAGGAGGCGGAGGTTGCGGTGAGCCGAGATCGCGCCATTGCACCCCAGCCTGGGTAACAAGAGCGAAACTCCGTCTCAAAAAAAAAAAAAATAAAAATAAATAAATAAATAAATAAATGGCATTATTTTCCATACCAGTTTTTATTTTTATGTAGCCAAATATATTAATATTTTCTCTATTCCAAGATCACAAAACTTTTTCCCCAATATTTTTATTACAGTTTTTAAAATTTTAATGTTTAAGGGTCAGACTTTCATTTTTGTCAAATGGACAGTCAATTGATCCAGCACTATTAACTGAATAATACATCCCTTCCCACTGATTAAAATGCCACTTCTATCATAAATTCCTAGAGATACATACGTCTGTTGCTGGCCTTTTTTGAACAGGGTCACCCATGCTGCAATGCAGTGATACGATCACGGCTCACTTTAACCTTAGCCTCCCAGGTTCAAGTGATCTTCCCACTTCAGCTTCCCAAGTAGCTGGGATTGCAGGTGCATGCCACCATACCCTGCACTGGCCTTTCTTCAGCAATGGGCCACAGAAATGCGTATGTATGTGAGTGGCTGATGGTGGCCACCTGCAGAGTACTGCAGGCACCACGGCTCATTTGCTGCCATGAAGAAATTGTGGGCCCACTGTGGCCACATATGCCGAGTTTTCAAGAGGTGTTAGACATCCAGATTTATATCTCCAACATTTTAAGTGTTGGCAATTAATTAAAAAACAATTTAAAAGGCTGGGCACAGTGGCTCACGCCTGTAATCCCAGCACTTTGGGAGGTCAATGTGGGTGGATCAACTGAGGTCAGGAGTTCGAGACCAACCTGGCCAACATGGCAAAACCCACCTTTATAAAAATACAAAAATTAGCCAGGCATGGTGGCAGGCACCTGTAATCCCAGCTACTTGGGAGGGTGAGGTAAGTGAAATCACTTGAACCCGGGAGGCGGAGACTGCAGTGAGCCAAGATTGCGCCATTGCACTCCAGCCTGGGCGACAAGAGTGAAACTGTCTCAAAAAAAAAAATTTTTTTTTAAACATATGGACAAAATGTATTTGCAAGCTGAGACTAGCTGTGGCACACTGGTTGGTGATCTCTATTCCAGATGCTGAAATATGATAATTAAGGCCAGACTGGGCCCAGAAATCCACCTCTCTTTCCCACTGCCAACATTAAGAAGCAAAAGGGGAAGAGTGATGCGGCAGCTCCTGGAAACCCAGGTTATTTGCAGGCACCTCTGGGAAAGAAAGCAGTGTTATGGCTCGTGTCACCTTTTACCCACACGAGTTGATGACGTGGTTCCCGGTTTGCCAAGTAACTAGGAGGAAGGAGATCAGCACTGGGGAGCGGAAGGTAACATCCTCAGTCAAAGTTGGGCTTCCCAAACCTGCTAGGCTGAATTACAAACAAAGACAATGGGTTGGAAGGAGGATGGAAAGTGGGGTGCTGGTCAAGAACAGAGCAAGATTTTGGCCCCCCAAAACAAGCTGGAAAGTGATGTCACTTCCTATGTGATCATCATGCAGCTTCCCTGGGGTATACCTTCCAACTTAACACTGCTGAATCTGAAAAGAAATGGCAATGAACGGAGGTCTCCCACTCTTACACGGAGAACAGGATCTGCTTGCAGCCAAGATGAATCACATTGTAGAACTTCACTATTCAGAGAAAGCCCCTCTTCACATGCAGAATCTCGCTGGTCTCTCAGGACAATCCTGTGAGGTGGGCAGCATCAGGAATGTTACTGCCCCTTACAGAAGAGGGAACTGGCACTAGTGACAATCAAAATGGGTTTTAGATGGCTCTGGAATGTGCAGGAAGGACACCTTATAAAGAATAAAAGACTGCAGGCCCTTTCTTCTTCCCCATGCCCATTTGTGTTGAATCATTTACTCATTAAATTCACTGAACACCTTCAACGGGCTAGGCACTCTGCCTTAGGCATTGGGAACATAGGCGTACACAGGTCCTGGGCACTGTCCTCTCCTGTGGCTGGTCAGTCATCCTTGCTCTGGACCATGACCCAGACTGGCCTTGCCCTACTCCTCTCTAGGTAGAGCAGTGATCTCAGCCCAACTCTTGCATTTTGTTCTAGAAATCTCGATTGTTTCCCTATTCGTCACTTCTTGAGAGGCACTGACCTGTGCCAGGAACAGGATATGTTTTTAAGTGCTTGAGACACAGACAGGTGGCAGACTCATACCCACATTCCAGCCATACCTTAATTCTGACCTAATTTTAATATGTTTCATGCAGTCACACAATTCTCTGTGTAGGACACTCTGAGCAGGGATGGCACATACTTCTCCTGAAGTGGCAAACAGCCCAGTTGGTGAGGTGGCCAGTCTCTAGGACATCTTGGATGAACCTCTTTTCTTCTCATTACTTTTCCTTCATCTACTTCGTTTTTGTTCTGAGATAGAGCCTTGCTCTGTCGCCTAGGCTGGAGTACAGTGGTGTAATCTTGGCTCACTATAACCTCCACCTCCTAGGTTCAAGGGATCCTCCCACCTCAGCCTCCTGAGTAGTTAGGATTACCATGCCAGGCTAATTTTTTGTATTTTTGTAGAGATAGGGTTTTACCGTGTTGGCCAGGCTGGTCTCAAACCCCTGGACTCAAGTGATCGGCTGCTTAAGCCTCCCAAAGTGTTGGGTTTACAGGCATGAGGCACTGTGCCCAGCCTTCCTTCATCTACTTATTTTCCTGTGATGCCTCATGTTTCAGGGTATGTGTCTGAGGGGTGGGAATATGTACCAGATATATCTAGGGCAGCCCCATCAGCTCTTATTTGCAGGCATTTTCTTCTATTGACTATAATGAGTAGAACTGTGTCTCTCTTTTTTTTGAGATGGAGTCTTGCCCTGTTGCCCAGGCTGGAATGCAACGGCAGGGTCTCAGCTCACTGCAACTTCCACCTCCTGGGTTCAAGTGATTCTCCTGCCTCAGCCTCCTGAGTAGCTGGGATTACAGGTGTGAGCCACCATGCCCGACCAGAACTGTGTCTCTTAAAAAGATAAGTCCAGGTTCAAGTCTCTAGTACCTGTGAATGTGACCTTACTTGGAAAAGGAGTATGTGCTGATCTAATTAAGGTAAGGATCTTGAGATGAGATCATCCTCATTAGAGTGGGCCCTAAATCCAGTGACACAGATTTGGTGTCCAATGATGTCTTTACAAGAGACAGAAAATAATACACATGGTCACAGGGGAGAGGGCCACACAAAGATAGAAGCAGAGACAGGACTTACACTGTCATAAGCCAAAGAACACCAAGGATTGCTGTGGCTATCAGAGAAAGGACAAAGGCATGGAATGGATTCTCCCCCAGAGCCTCCAGGAGAAACCAACCTTACTGACACCTTAACTTCAGACCTCCGGCCTCCAGAACTGTGAGACTCAATTTCTGTTAAGTCACCCAGGTGGCGGTAATTTTTTATTTTTTTGAGACAGAGTCTTGCTCTGTCACCCAGGTTGGAGTGCAGTGGCACAGTCTCGGCTCACTGAAACCTCTGCCTCCTGGGTTCAAGCAATTCTCCTGCCTCAGCCTCCCAGTTAGCTGGGATTATAGGCACATGCCACCATGCCCAGCTAATTTCTATATTTTTAGTAGATACAGGGTTTCACCACATTGGCCAGGCTAGTCTTCAACTCCTGACCTCAAGTGATCTGCCCGATCCGGCCTCCCAAAGTGCAGGGATTACAGGTGTGAGCCGAGTGTCCGGCCAGGCTGTAGTAATTTTTTATGGCAGCCCTAAGAATAAACACACAGACCCAGTCAAGTTTTCCCTTTTTGAGCAAGGACTGCCATGTACAACCTGACCTGAGAGTGGGGCCTTCAATCCTTTCCCCTGGGTCCTCTGGCAACAGTTCTCAGATGACTCTAATGCTTGGAGACACACCTGTGTGTGACGGTCCCCTCAGCAGGCATCTGTTCACCAGCAGAGGAGGCCGGAAGCCCCTTGTGAGGTACTGGGTTCTGTAGCTTCAGGAGTGGGATCAATGTCATCATCCATATCAGATCTGTCTGCTCCAATCTCAGCCCTTTCTTCCTGCCTGGTCCAAAGGCTATTTTCTAGCTGTTCTTCAGCAATTTCTAGCTCTTCTTCTGTTTGTAAAGTAGCCACAGTTTCCCGAGGCAAGTTTGAGGAATATAGCCCAAATTTGGCTTTACAACCAAACATTGCCTCAAATGGACTTTGCTGCAAGGAAACGTCGAAAGCCTGATTCCTCACCATCTGCACGAATCGGAGGCCTTTGGCCCAGTGACATGAGTAGTTACTCTGCATCCAGGTACTTATCATGTTCTTTATATCACGGCTTGCTCCTTCCAGGGAGCCCTGGGCGTGGCCAGGGTGGTGCTTACCAGGCACAATCCTTAGGTCTGGCCACAACTCATTGAGCTCACGAACAACCTGGTTTGTGAACTCAATGCCACTGTCGGAGTCTAACACACTGGGTGTACCAAGAATTGTGAAAATATCTAACAAGACACTGACCACCTCATGGGTCTGTTTGCTTTTTAATGGCCGTAAAATAATAAACTTGGTCAAGTGGTCTTGGTAGTATAAAATGAACTTGAATTCACCATCGGCACTTGACTGCATGTCAAGTATTTCAACTTGGCATGTGGAGTCTATGTCCTTAACAGTCATGGGCTTGGGCGCAAGGCCTCTCTTGGGTAGTGGGTTCTTCTGGTGGCACTGTTTACACAGAGTCAGATATAAGACAATAACTTCTTTGGTGACATTCCCATATTTTCCCTGCAGCTCCTTGAGCATGCGTGTCCGCCCACCATGTCCAATTCTGAGATGTGTGTCATGCAGAATATCAAACAATTCTTCTTTATGCACATAATACCGTATTCGATCTCGTTCTCCATGAGTAGCCTCTATCAGTTTCTCTGTGCCCTGTACAGAGATCACATCGTATTTTGCTGCACGGCGATAATCACGTGATGACTTCTTCCCTTTTTCTTTAGCTTCTTTAACTTCCTTTATTGTTTGAAAGTATTTTTCTTTGGAAAATACCTTGCTGTTGTAACTTTTGCCTTCTACTAACTTTGTTACACTCATAAGAAACTTTTCTCTCATGTTACTTATCTCCATTTCCATTTCACTTGCATTTGAAGCCCCAAGTGGATCATTTCCAGCTCTCTGAGGCATCATGGAGAACTGTAAGAAGGATCCTAAGAAAGGAAGAGAACGAAGTTAAATTCACTGACACACCCACCTGGAAGACTTTCCCTCTAATGTTCCTCAATTCTTTCATCTAATTTTTGAAGATGATTACATGGAAGAATGATAATAGAATATAGTATAAAGCAGCTAGAAAGCCAACTAGAACCATCCAAAACCAGAGCATAGCCATAGAATTTGACATCAGTAAGATCACAAATATGTAGAGGTTTTAGACTTTAGGTGAACAGAAAAAACAATGAAGCCGTTAGCTTATAGCATGAAACCTAATCGACTGGTTATTATTAATTGAATAGGAGAGAGGATAAACAGAAACTTCTAAGGCAGCAGACTAAAATCTTACCCTTAATATCCTTTGAAATAATATAAATGGGAGAACCCTGCTAAAAGGTACCATATAATAACAGCAAACTTTTTTTTTCTTTTTTTTTTTTGAGACGGAGTCTCGCCCTGTTGCCCAGGCTGGAGTGCAATGGTGTAATCTCGGCTCACTGCAACCTCTGCCTCCTGGGTTCAAGTGATTCTCCTGCCTCAGCCTCCTGAGTAGCTGGGATTACAGGCATGTGCCACCACACCCAGCTAATTAATAGCAAACTCTTAAACTGAAATTAATACCAGGGATTGCTTCTGAGCCTTCCCATAATCAACAGAAACAATTTCTTGGCTGGGTGCAGTGGCTCGTGCCTGTAATCCCAGCACTTTGGGAGGCCAAGCTGGGCAGATCACTTGAGGTCAGGATTTTGAGACCAGCCTAGCTAACATGGTAAAACCTTGTCTCTACTAAAAATACAAAAATCAGCCAGGTGTGGTGGCAGGAGCCAGTAATCCCAACTACTTGGGAGGCTGACACAGGAGAATTGCTTGAACCCAGGAGGCAGAGGTTGCAATGAGCTGGGATCATGCCATTGCACTCCAGCCTGGGAGACAAAGTGAGACTGCCTCCAAAAAAAAGACAAAACAACAACAACAAAACAACAACAACACAATTTTTTATTGCTGAAGAATCTGTCCTTATTTTGGGGGAATCAAGAAGAAAGCTGTGGGGATATTTTTAAATGACGGTTTCCCCTTGACAATTGTCTACAGGATTAATAAAGGAAGATCCTCAGTCCTTACCCTGTGGGACCATGTTCTCATAACTGTCCAGCATTGTGTCCCCGTAGTAATCCTTTTGAGAGGTTTCTAAATAATTCCAATCTTTGGTCATATCTTCAAATGCTGTTGCCTCTGGAAACAATGCTGGCCGCTATCATAGGGCCTGGGCTAAGGAGCAGCTTCAGCAGGACTGGAGAAGAGATGAGAGGGCACCAGGAATGAAGGCGTGCAGCATAAAGGACTCTGAAAGTAAGTCAGGTGAATAAATGGAAGAAATAAGAAAGAGGTCTCATATCCAACACAATGAGTACAGCTTCATGGATGAGGGAAAGTTTTGCTTTCCTGGGGGGGTCTATCAGTCTGGCTTGTTTTGATGCTGTCAGAGCTGCCGCCGATGAATTAATATTTCCAGAATAAAGCAGAGTCCAAGTGAACCTGGGCACTCCAAGGTGAGGAGATGCTTTCAGGTACAGGCTTGATGCTCTTTTTTTTTTTTCTCAATTTTTTTTAAATTGCATTTTAGGTTTTGGGGTACATGTGAAGAACATGCAAGATTGTTGCATCACACACGCAGTGTGATGTGCTGCCTTCCTCCCCATCACCTATATCTGGCATTTCTCCCCATGATATCTCTCCCCAACTCCCCACCCCCCTCTGTCCCTCCCCTATTTCCCCCCTACAGACTCCAGTGTGTGATGCTCCCCTCCCTGTGCCCATGTGTTCTCATTGTTCAACACCCACCTATGAGTGAGAACATGTGGTGTTTGATTTTCTGTTCTTGTGTCAGTTTGCTGAGAATGATGGTTTCCAAGTTCATCCATGTCCCTACAAAGGACACGAACTCATCATTTTTGATGGCTGCATGGTATCATGGTGTATATGTGCCACATTTTCCCTGTCCAGTCTATCATCGATGGGAATTTGGGTTGGTTCCAGATCTTTGCTATTGTAAACAGTGCTACAATGAACATTCGTGTGCATGTGTCCTTATAGTAGAACGATTTATAATCCTTTGGATATATACCCAGTAATGGGATTGCTGGGTCAAATGGAATTTCTGTGTCTAGGTCAGGCTTGATGCTCTCAATAGGGTTGGCAGGATCTGTTTCCAATGGAAATACTATGTCTGTGTACACAGAGATATGTCAGGAGATTATCATGCAGAAAAGAGATACCCCAAATGGAGCCCACATGCCACTGTGATCAGATAATTCCTTAGGAAGAGAACTTGGTACTCAGTTGTCTAAACTGGGATTCCTTAGTTAGAACAGCCCTAAGACAGGATGGTGATAAGGCCAAGGGAGTTCACATGAGGACTGCAGGAATTCCTGCAAGCTTAGGAAAACAGGATCCCAAGATCCCAGCTGTCAGATGCAGAGCTGAGGGGCAGGGCAGAATCCTGAGAAGCAGAGAAAGATGAAAACTGTTAAAAGCTCTGAGTGGGAGTCTCGGTTAAGCTGGACCTGCCTCCAAGTCCTGAAGGTCCTCTACTACAAGGGCTTCAAATTCCCTTCCTCAGCATTACCAGTTAACCATGAATACTCCTGATTCTAAGACATTGCTAATTATCAAACCACTGACTTAATGACAACTTTGAGAGGAAAATATATTCAGACACATTCACATTTTAATATGTAAAAAATATGGCCGGGCGCGGTGGCTCAAGCCTGTAATCCCAGCACTTTGGGAGGCCGAGGCGGGTGGATCACGAGGTCAAGAGATCGAGACCATCCTGGTCAACATGGTGAAACCCCGTCTCTACTAAAAATACAAAAAAAAAATTAGCTGGGCATGGTGGCGCATGCCTGTAATCCCAGCTACTCAGGAGGCTGAGGCAGGAGAATTGCCTGAACCTAGGAGGTGGAGGTTGCGGTGAGCCAAGATCGCGCCATTGCACTCCAGCCTGGGTAACAAGAGTGAAACTCTGTCTCAAAAAATAAATAAATAAATAAATAAATAAATGCATTTTTGTTTTCTTTTTTGTATTTTTGATAGAGATGGGGTTTTGCCATGCTGCAGAAAGCCTAGGCTGGTTTCAAACTCCTGGTCTCAACTGATCCACCTGCCTCAGCCTCCCAAAGTGCTAGGATTACAGGCATGAGGCACTGCGCCTTGCAGAATTGAAGAAATTGCACATTTGCAAAATGTTCTTTACTCTAAGCCTGTGTTCAAGATCTTTTGCAAACTGATGTATCAAAGGCTCTGAGGCTGGGCATGCTGGTTCACACCTGTAATCCAGGACTTTGGGAGGGCAAGGCGGGCAAATCACCTGAGGTTAGGAGTTTGAGACCAGCCTGGCCAACATGTTGAAACCCCATCTCTACTAAAAATACAAAAATTAGTCAGGCAAGGTGGTGCATGCCTGTAGTCCCAGCTACTCAGGGAGCTGAGGCAGGAGAATCCTTTTAACCCGGGAGGCAGAGGTTGCAGTGAGACGAGATTGGACCATACCACTCCAGACTGGGCGACAGAGTGAGACTCCATCTCAAAAAAAAAAAAAAAAAAAAAAAGGCTCTAAGAAGTCCTGCAGTAAAGAAACGAATTTCACTTTGTTTCATCTACCAGTACTATTAAATCATTGACACAGGACTTTGTTTCCCAAAGAATATCTATTACCATCCTATGGTCTTACTATTTTTTTTTTTTTTTTAACACTGGGTACACCACCACACCCAGCTAATTTGTATATTTTCAGTAGAGATGAGGTTTTGCCATGTTGGCTAGGCTGGTCTTGACTTCTGGCTTCAAGTGATCTGCCCATCTTGGCCTCCCGAAGTGTTGGGGTTACAGGCATGAGCCAGTGTACCCGGCCAGTCCTATTAGTTCTAACAGACTTGTAACCACAAGGTATTCAATGGAATCCAGGAAGAGCACTTTCCAGATTCCTTTCTGAAACCAACATCTCTCAGAACTTGAGTACTGTGTTGGTTGCTATTTCAGTCCCTCAGGGGACTGCAATGGAAGGAAAAGCCTCATCTTCATTCTATAAAAGAATGAAGGCAACTGTGCATGGTGGCTTACACCTGTAATCCTAACACTTTGGGAGGCCAAGGTGGGAGGATTGCTTGAGGCCAGGAGTTCACGACCAACCTAGTCAACATAATGAGATCCTGTCTCTAAAGAAAAGAAAAAAGAATGAAGGCAACAGGCTAGAACCAATTTATAATCAAAAGATGCAAAATCTCAGTGTTTAGTAAGAGATACAGTCCTTACTATACCATGAAATACTACAGTATAGTCCAAGGGTCACAATTGTCTAATAGACCTATTTTGGTTGGTCCATATAGTGATTTAAAAAAATTTGAATGACTCACCTCTAATTACAGGTTGGGAGATTTCACATAAAAAAAATCTCAATTTCTGGCTTTCTTGAAAAGAAGTTCTGGCTGCACTGGCGGCATGGTTGCCTGGCAATAACTGGCTATAATGGAGAGGCGGCATCCTCCTTTGGATCAAGCTTGTCCAACCTGCGGCCTATTTGCTGCATGCAGCTCAGGATGCCTTTAAATGCAGCCCAACACAAATTCATAAACTTTCTTAAAATATTTTTGCAATTTTTTTTTTTTTTTAGCTCATCAGCTATCTTTAGTGTTGGGGTATTTTATTTCAGGCCCAAGACAATTATTCTTCTTCCAATGTGGCAGGGAAGCCAAAAGATTGGACACCCCTGCTTTAGATGGAGCCTGGACTCTCTTGTTTCCCATAATCTCTAAGGGACCTACTAACCTATTCATCTTATTTGCCCACTCCTGCAGATTTCTAAGCTTTCAGTATCTTTTTTTCTTTTTTTTTGAGATAGGGTCTCACTTTGTCACCCAGGCTGGAGTGCAGTGGCAAGATCACAGCTCACTGCAGCCTCAAACTCCCAGGGTCAAGGCATCTTCCCACCTCAGCCTCCCCAGTAGCTGGGACTACAGACAGGCGTCACCAGGCCAGGCTAATTTTTTTTTTTTTTTTTTTTTTATAGTTACGGGCTCTCATTATGATGCCTAGGCTTCAGTGTCTTTTCCAAAAGCAACATGAAAGAAATGTGACCCTAAATCAATTAGCTTCCTGGTGTGATCTGTGCTGACGGCTAAGTGACAACCGAGTTGGTTAGAGAAAACTGGAAATACTTCCAAAGCCATGTTTACTCCCTTCACCCACCTGTGAGTCTTTGCCTTGGCTGTTTCTGACTTGGAATATCCTCGCATTGATCTTCCAAATCACTGCCAGCTGAAATCAGCCTCCTCCCTGACATATTCAGTAACTTCAGCTGTTTGCCATCTCTCCTTCCTCTCTCAATAACCTGTATCACTCACTGGAGCACTTTGCTTTGCATCTTTAGTCGACCAGTTCAGATGTTTACAACCTAGAAGGTAGGGACGGAGGCTTCTACCTGCCTGTACTCCCTAGGAGGGCTCACGAATACAGAGCCGAGCACAAAAGATGTTCAAAGGACATTTAGTTTAAAATGTCGCTTATTGGCAGGTCTTTAATTAGAGAGATAGCAGCGGTATGGCTGAGTCTACGCTTGGGAACTCACTTTCTGACTCTTACCATTTACGGACTAAAGCAGTTACTTGGGCCTCAGTTTCCTCATCTACAACACGGGGAGATGACCAGTACCCATCACAACCGATTGCTATGAAGATTCAATGATAATGCAGATAAGGCACCTAATACAGGGTCCCCGCACAGTCCACCACATGGGCACGCCCACTTACTCCTGAGGACCGGGCTGGGGCGTCGCCTCCTTTGTGCAGCCTTCCTACCCTGACACCGCAGACCGCTCCCACCGCCTGGATCCACGCGTCCGAGCCCCGCCAGATCAAGGCTGAACGGCTGAGACTGACGGGCAATGGAGAAAAGGTCACACCAGACGAAGCGGCGTCTGGATCCCGCTTCACCATGTCCGCGGGCAGCCACACCTCCGGAACCCTCAGCCGGAAGTCGATCAACGCCACCCGGAAGTCCCGCCCCACCACCGTCCCCATCAGCCGGCGACACGGAGAAAGGGCCGCTACAGGTTTCGCCCAGACAGAACAGCATTGGGAACACCGAATAGCGCGTCCACCTAGACGGCAGCTGTGACTTTGGCCAGGCCAGTGACTCAACTTGGGCCGTTTCCACATTGCTGCAAAGTAACGAGTATGCTGTTTTGATCCTTAAAACGAGGCATGGCGGGAGCACACACACTGCTGCCACCTCACACGTTTTCACTCCATCCTGATAAAACTGCATTTTAGATCAGTATTTCATTATTTCAACTAAAAATTTGTTAGGTTTTGGTCTCAGGGCACTCAACCAGCACTTGCGCAGAAAACAAGGTGAAGGGGGCCCCCATGGGTAGATCAGAGAACTTGAACCTGAGGCCTCTCACTAAGTAATCTAGATGCTATAGGAAGTCACAGAAGCTGCTGCTTCTATTGAAAGCAAGACCTCCTTTTCAATGGCAATACAAACGTTTAGGCAGTAAGGTAAAAAATATAGGCTGTCTGACCATATAGCAGCCTATCCATAGGAGGAAATTTGAAAGACAGGTTCAAGAAAAGGAAGTGTTTCCAACTAGGTTTTCTTACAGGCCGCCTTCTAAATGAGACCCCCCTAGCTATCTACATATCCTGAAATGCTGCTGCCCACTATCAAGAAGTGCCCTAAATCACCACACACAAAACAGACTCCTCATTTCAAGTTTTAATCAAAGCTTGTATATAAGATTACTTTATTCCTGCATCTTCTCAATTGTTTCTTCCTTGTATTTGCCCTTTTCCTTTCCTACTTGGCGAGATTTGGCTTTCCGTTCAAGGATCTTTTTGCGGTCTTTGTCCAGTTTTAGCCTAGTGATAACAACCTGCAGAAAAATGAGAAAAAAACACTCCCAAGCTTTAAATAAACCCCAAGACACACGGGAAAGCCCAACATTTAATACCATTTCCCACACCTGAGGCAGTGGATGCCCAAAGAAATGATTAACTTTTAAAAAATTCTAGAAATTACTCTTTAGTCATCAAACCTGGCTTAAATATTTACTAATATCCTACCAACAAAGGAGAAAAGGCAAGATGGCATAATTCTTATTGTAGCCTCTTCTGTGCTTCATTATGTTTTTTATTGAAAAATACGATTCATTCTGCTTTTGTCATGACAGTCTTACAAACTGTCATACACAAATCTATTTGTTTCTAAAGTAACTTCAGGCTGGGTGTGGTGGCTCAAGTCCCCAATCCCAGCACTTTGGGAGGCAGAGGCAGGCAGACAACTCTGGCCAACAAGGTAAAACCCTGTCTCTACTAAAAATACAAAAATTAGCGGGGCGTGGTGGTGCGTGCCTGTAATCCCAGCTACCTGGGAGGCTGAGGCTGCAGTGAGTTGAGATCATGCCACTGCACTCCAGCCTGGGCCACCAAGTGAGACTCAACAAACAACAAAAAAACAAACAAAATTAGCCACACGTGGTGGTAAATGCCTGTAACCCAGCTACTCAGGAGGCTGAGACGGGAGAATTGCTTGAACCCAGGAAGCAGAGGTTGCAGTGAGCTGGGAATGCACCATTGCACTTCCAGGCTGGGTGACAAAAGCAAAACTCTCTCAAAAACCAACAACAACAAAAACAAACAAAAACCAACACCCTAAAACAGAAAAATTATAAAGTAACTTCAGAATTTTAATATTAGAAATTAAACCTAGCATTCACATGTAATTCCACCTGCAAAATCTTTAGTGAGATGACAATACAGATCTTATTCCAACAGTTCAAACCCTAAAAGACATCTAAATTATGATAAATTTTAGTCTTATGAAGGCCACGAAAGGCTGAAAAGAGGTGCTGGAAATACAGCATGCTGACCAAACAACCTCTGCTGTTGCGGAACTCACATACCACTATAGGAAGACTGAAAACAAAAGTGAATGTACATCCCTTTGATAGAGAAAGAAGGCAAGTGACGAGGCCGAGGGGCTTTCTAGAGTGATCAGGAAAAGCCCTACTAATAAAGCTACATTTGAAGAGACCTAAAGTGGTGAGCCATCTATCTATGTACAAGTATCTGGAAGAGAACAGCAAGTTGAAAGGTCCAAATGCAAGAGATTATAAAGTTTCACAGGTGTGTTTCCTAAACTTGAGTAAGAATTAACTGGAGGGCTTGTTGAAACTGACACCTGGGTCACAAACCCTAATTCTGCCTCACTAGGCCTGGGCTCCTAGAATTTATAATTCTACCAGGATCCTAGGTCCAGCAGACCAGAACATATAGAATGGAAAAAGATGTCAGAAGTGAAGGAAAATCAGTCTTTTTTTTTTTTTGAGATGGAGTTTCACTCTTCTTTCCCAGGCTGGAGTGCAATGGCGCAGTCTCGGCTCTCTGTAACCTCTGCCTCCCAGGTTCAAGCAATTCTCCTGCCCGCAGCCTCCCAAGCAGCTGGGATTACAGGCGCCTGCCACCACGCCCGGCTATTTTTTATATTTTTAGTAGAGATGGGGTTTCACCATGTTGGTCAGGCTGGTTTTGAACTCCTGACCTCAGGTGATCTGCCTGCCTCGGTCTCCCAAAGTGCTGGGATTATAGGCATGAGCCACTGCATCTGGCCAGATCAGTTAAAGTCTTATAGGCCAATGTGATGGCAAAGAGCAGACAGAATTCTAGGTATTGAGACAGTAGTCCACAGATCTTATAAACTGATGTGGGGTACATAATGAATCAGTCAAAATGACATTTTTGGTTGGACATGGCGGTTCACGTCTATAATCCCAACACTTTGGGAGGCTTAGGTTTTGGGCAACATTGCAAGAGCCTGCATTAAAATAAATAAAAATCGGGCCGGGCGCGGTGGCTCAAGCCTGTAATCCCAGCACTTTGGGAGGCCGAGGCGGGTGGATCACGAGGTCAAGAGATTGAGACCATCCTGGTCAACATGGTGAAACCCCGTCTCTACTAAAACTACAAAAAATTAGCTGGGCATGGTGGCGTGTGCCTGTAGTCCCAGCTGCTCAGGAGGCTGAGGCAGGAGAATTGCCTGAACCCAGGAGGCGGAGGTTGCGGTGAGCCGAGATCGCGCCATTGCACTCCAGCCTGGGTAACAAGAGCGAAACTCCGTCTCGAAAAAAAAAAAATAAAAAAAAATAAAATAAATAAAAATCTAATGATATTTTGGCCTGAGCAATTAGGAAGATAGCTGCCATACACTGTGATGGTTTGAATATGCCCAAGTTTGGGATACTTATAAAAGTTGAACTGCACAATTGGCAACTGGATATTGAGTTTAGGGGAAGTACTGAATTTAGGGGAAGAGGAGCTTCCAGACATCTTAAGTCCTAAGACTAGAATGAGATATGAAGATGACTATTGAATCAAAGACTGACCATCACATGCTGCACTAACATGTACAGCACAAAAAGACTAAAAATCTGCTTGGTGACCTAAAACAACTGATCTGGTGATGGGAAGCAAAAATATGACTGGAGTAGGTTAAGGAGTGGGAAAGTCCTTGGTCCTAAGAGATACATACTGAAGTAATTACAGGTGAATGTCATGATCCTTCTTTAGTAAATTCACTGGGAGTGGAGAAACGGGATAAAGAAAATGTGGCAAAATTTTAATAGTGAATTCTAGGTCAGAGATGTACAGGTGTTTTACTATATCAGCCTTTGACTTCTCGGAGGTTAAAAAATTACATTTATTGTATCAACCTAAGATCAACCCCTGCCAACCCCAGTGTTTGAAGAATCAGTGTGCACTCATTACCTTTATACTAAACATAAACACATTTTTAAACCTTGAAGCATATAAAGCAGAGGTCATAATTTTTGCATTAATTACGAGCAATTACAATTTTGGGGAGAATTCACATAAAAATCCAGGGTGAGCATCTGCCGCTACAGGGATCAAACCAGATTTTCTATCTTGGCTTAGACATAATCACTATTCGTGGGATCTTAACCTCCGAGTTTTGGGTTTCGCTTTTTTTTCCTTTCAAACATCTGTAAATGGTTTCATAGTTACTTCTCAGGGTCATAAAGATGACTTACTGCTGAATTCTAATACAGGAGGCCAGGTGCTATGGCTCAACTCATGCTTGTTAATTGCAGCAATTTGGGAGGCTGAGGCGGGTGGATCACTGAGGTCAGGACTTGGAGATCAGCCTGGCCAACCTGGTGAAATCCCACATCTACCAAAAAAAAAAAAAAAAAGAAAGAAAGAAAGAAAAAAGAAAAAATTAGCTGGGCATGGTGGGACACACCTCCTGTAGTCCCAGCTACTCAGGAGGCTCAGGCAGAATTGCCTGAACCTAGGAGGTGGAGGTTGCAGTGAGCCGAGACTGTGCCACTTGCACTCCAGCCTGGGAGACGGAGTGAGACTCCGTCTCCCAAAATAAATATGATAAAAAAAAAAACCTCAACAGGGCCAAAGTGCCATTTCCCTTCCCAGATTTTGGGAGGCCAAAGCAGGCAGATCACCTAAGGTTAGGAGTTCGAGACCAGCCTGGCCAATATGGTGAAACCTCATCTCTACTAAAAAATACAAAAATTAGCCAGGTATGGCGGTGCATGCCTGTAGTCACAGGTACTCGGGAGGCTGAGGCGGGAGAATTGCTTGAACCCAGGAGGCAGAGGTTGCAGTGAGCTGAGATCGCGCCATTGCACTCTCTCAAAAGAGAAAAAGAAGAAGAAAAAAAAGATATACATAATGACAAAGACACTTTGATTTCAGAAACATTTTAAATGATAATAGAATTTTCAATACAAGTGCAGTAGTATTTAAGACATTTTTTCTAGCACATCTAAAATCAAGGAATATTTCTATGGGCATGCTCTGTAAACAATAACGTGTCAACAATAATTGCCATAATTTCCTCTCCTCCAGCATCCTGAAAAACACCTACCTTGCTGGGGTGAATGCCTACATGGACAGTTGTGCCATTAGCCTTTTCCCGCTGCACCCGTTCAATGTAGATTACATATTTCTTCCTGTACACCTGGACTACTTTGCCAATCTGC